ACTGCGTCGCGTCACTGCGTCGCGTCACTGCGTCGCGTCACTGCGTCACGTGTCACGTGATCCGCACTGGGCGCAGGCTACAAAATGGATTCCTCCAAGCAGATGGATGGAGCGGAGCAGGCCCAGTCTTGGCAAACAGGTAAAAATGAATCAGTAGTCTGGAAATATTTCACTAAAGATGAATCTTCCGGTTCAACTACCGTAAGGAAACAGAAAATGAATCAACTTCCTGACTGTTTGGAGCTCGTTGAACCGGTGTTACACCATATTCTGTGACCACCGTATATTGTGACCATAAGGGGCGGTGTTGCATGCACTGTTGCAGGTCACAGAATATGGTGTAACACCAGGTCCAATCGACCGAAACAGAACCAGCTTCCTTCTGACCTTGTTTTTTTGACAAACAAAAAGTAAAAATATTAATCTCTAAACCTATAAAAAACCTATAAACATATTAATCTCTAAAACTAAACCTAATGTGCACCACTGTGCGCCGTGGTGCGGGGTGGTCGTCCGCCCCACTGTTTTTAGTTTCGTTTGTTACGTGCTGCACGTTTCTTTCAATTTTGCAGCTTAATAATAAAAACTAATAGTTTTGGTTTTCTTGTGACTTATTTGCAGTATGATAAATGGTAGGAGCACAACATACACTCCCAATGTTTTGTTGGTCTTTTTTTTTGTAAATAATAAATGACGTTTTTTTGTGAGTTTTTAAATGTATTTTTGTATCTTTAGATCCTATGATGTCATCAACTACTCGAGTTCTACTCGAGTTTTATTATGTTAATGTCGAGTTTAAAAATTATGTAGTCGTTCAACCCCTAGTGATAATCTGTCATGTTATAGATATAAAATGAGGCATAAATCTACTGACTAATCATAGTGGCTACCTGGCAGGGTCTGTACGTTGTGTGAGGAAAACAAACTATGCAGAACTTAATGCAAGTTTGTTAACGATAAAAGCAGCAACAGACTGACAGCATGAGCTGAAACACATTTATTTATTGCTGTACTTCCATCCTGACTTAAATGAGATATTTAGGGTGAATATTTCAAGTGTAAATGTATTTAAACAAGTTAGTAGTTTTTTTTCTTCTTGCTACTGCCGTTTATGACTGAAAACTGGGATTAATCTGCATTTATTACTACTGTCATATTTGTTTATAGTTAAGCAATCAAGACTAAATATTAATACAGTCAATAAAAAAAGCAATGTAATTTTAACATTTACAATTACAAGTTAAGTCTGCAGAACTCATTCAACTTTTATTTAGACAGGTTAATCCCATTGAGCCTCAATGTACAAACTCAAACTTTTACATTATCTATCTTACTTACTCAGTTTCTAACATTAAGGTTCCATTCAGTTTTATAATCCATAAAAATGATTTTACAGTATTTAGATTTTTATGTGATGGTTAAAAATAATTGAGTGACAGAGGGTTTTAATTAAAGCATCCTCAAACCTCACACATAAATGAAAGCATAAATCAAATACAACTGACACTAATGTTACTTTGATTGGAGCAGGTCATCAGAAAGTGTAGATTACTTAACAATATTACATAATTTTATAATATCCAGTGAAGCACACTTGAAAATTTATTAAGGAATAACAATGAACAAACAAATATTAATTTTATTCTTCTTTTCAGTAAATGTCAGAGTCATACGTTGGACAGCTTCGTACAAAGAGCTCCAGGATGTTGGTTGAGCAGCAGCTGAGTTCACAAACAGCATTTTAAATGTGATCTTCACAGACATGCAGCTGCTGTCCGTGGTGGAAGATGAAGGATCCAGAAGATCATCTCCACCTTCAATCCCAACTTATTTATTTCTCTTCTGTTTTTGCATTTTAGAAAAACAAGAGTTTTGCTTTACCACAGACTTGAAACTGAAATGAGGTTCAACATGTTATTGCATTTTAAGCAATACAATATTTTAAAAAGAGGAATTAAATGGGTTGTTTACTTAAATGTTCTTTTTCATGTATGTGTATTACTCATACAATGAGTAACTACTGCATAACCTGACAAATTTTGTTTTTGATTACTTGATTATTCGCCAGACTAAGCTATAGATTACTTGATTACTTTAATAGTTTACAACAGCCCTAGTTCAGGCGCTGATCCTGCGGTGTTTGTCTACAAGCAGCAGAACCGACCCAAACCATGAAGCTACCATCACCTCTGATTGGATAAAGCTAGGGACAGAGCATTTTTTCTGCAAAACATCTTGTTTGAACCTCTAAGTTTAATTTAGAAAATATTCCAGATCATTCTGATCAGCGTTTGATTGAACTTAAAAACTGGTTTTAATCCTGAATGAGGAACAACCAGCTGAAAGGATGCAGTGGAAAAAGCACAAACAGAAAGACAAAAATGATAAATATATGAACTAAAACTGACAACTGTCCCGTTTTCCCACTCCCCCCCCCCCAAACCCCAAGAGGCAAAAAACCTAAACTCAGACTCCGAGAATTCAAAATTTAAAAAATATATTTTTTTCTCTTCCATCTAGGACAGCCTGAACACAGCCACAGATGCTTTCCAGGGCCTGAACAAGAAGACATGGGGGAAGGGCCCGAAGGGGAGGGAGGCGAGGGGGAGGAGACGTCCTGTATTCCCTGGAGGGAGGAGTGATTCACAGCAGCATGTGGGGAAGGAAGTGACTCATGTTTGAGGCTCATGCTCAGACACACAGGCCCTGTGTTTGGACTCCGAGAGGGTTCTGAGAGTCCTGGGTGTGTGCACAGAGTGTGTGCATGGAGTGTGTGTGTGTGTGTGTGTGTGTGTGTGTGTGTG